GCATTAGCATACTTTGTTGCTCGTAATGCTAAGCCCGCTGTTGAGTTGCTTAAAGTTGCCGTATGTTTCTCTTAGAGCACTTTCGGAAACTCAAACTTTTCTATATTCTAGTTTATGATTTCGTACGATATTTCGCGCTTTAAAAGCTTTTTATTAATAGTAGTAACAGATAAGCAAGTAAGACGCTTATTTGTCGCGCGGTCGCGGTACCTCGGGAATACCAGGTTATCGTTGAATTTTTTGAGTCAAAGTTTAGGGAATATATTTGCAATATTTCCTAAACTCTTTTGTATTCGACATAATCTATAAATACTGAGATCAGAAACTAAATTTACTTTATCTCAAGAAAAATCTAGTTATTTTGCATTAATCACTAATGGAAAAAGCTTTGGAATCGGTATACCGGTCAGTCATTACCTTATTTTAATCAATGTCTGTTTATCAACACACAAAATTAACTTCTAATATCATTGTAACAGAAACGATATCTTTCACAATAAGGAAACAAAAAACTTCAATTTGAAATACAAATACAATTAGATGCTCCTCCGTAAATGAGACGTAAGATTATAAATATTTTTGAAAGCGAATATACATGGAAAGAACTTCTTTCCTACGTTTAGTCGCGTCGGACGTAGTCGATGAATAATTGAAAAAAATTAGGTACATTACGGTTGATAGTTCGGACAGGAAGCCTTATTCGGGATTTATGGCTTTGCCAACATGGTAGACAACATCATTAGAAAAGAGTTCATCATTGTTATAAAGTGCTCCATGATTTATTATAAGGTAAACTGGTTTAATCATTATTTTGTAATTAGGTATATATTTAATATATACTCATTTACAAAAGGAAAGTACATTTAAGCATGTTCATTTCTATAATTTACTATAAAACAAGCTTTGCCAAGTTAGGTGTTAGATATGTTGTGTAAAAATATGTCCGGAAATATTTATTTATCCAAATTATGATTATCGTTCATCGGTTTAAGTTAAAATGACGGTGACAGCCTAGCACATCTTCATTTTTGTATCGTTAATATATTGAAACATTAATACGGTGACCATTCTTATGATAATAGCCGTGTACCGTTATATCAAATACAAGCTATTGTCGATACGAATAAACAATAGACAATTTAAACGTGCACCAACTCTATTGTTCACTTTATAACAATGATGAAGTTGTGTGTATATATAAATATTATCCATTTACCTTAACGACGGTGAGTATGGCATTTATTCTATGATTATAACAATGAGGATAAAGCTAATTAATGTAGGTAAGAATGTTTTTACTTAAATGAGCTTCATCTAAAATCGGTCGTGCTGGCAACGTTGAGAGAAATAGTGGCCGGCTCCGAGAGTAGGTGAAAAAGTTTCAAACATTTCTCTGATATTTCCAACGCTCTGAGGCAATGCGTAGTGGACCAGGTACAACATCACAATTTTTTTAATGAATTTCCTGAAAATATCAAATTTTAAGAATGAATTTTTACTCTGTGAAGTCTGTTACAAAGTTTTTGTAAGCTTTTTTTTTACATTTTCATATTTTTTGTTCAACCCATTACCCGGCCCTTGTAGCGAATGTAGTTTGTAAAATTAATTATTATTCAGTCCATAATTAATTACACGCTTCGTTACGAGAACTCGAGGTTTCTACTAATGATCCGAATGAATTAAATGGTTTACAAGCGTTCTGATCGTAACCCATTAACTGTTACGAATAAAAAGTGTTTTGGTGTGAGACCAAAAAAAAGCGTTTGAATATCGAAAGGAGACCACACACCCGCACCGCTGGCTTGGGTCTTTTGTGAGTATAATGATATGCACACATATTTCGATGCGTGGAGCTTATACGAGTATGTCTCCGTACTAACTTGTGCCTCGAATTGAATAATTTGAATTATTCTATCGTGCTCCAACTAAGCTCTCTCTGAATTACAGTTCAACTTGGCGCATTGCCTGTGGAATCATGTATTTTACTGATATAACATAGTAGTGATGTTTTACTTTCTTTAATATATATTAATGCTTTGCTGGCTTTTGAATATTTCAAATATTGCTTTATTATCGGTTTTCGGTAGAAGGTTTTCTTTGAAGAAAAATAAAAGACTTCTTAAATAGTGCGTTGATTGAAAATAAATAGTCTATTCAGTAGCAATAGATTTATTTCTCACTAAAGTAAAATACATGATGTATTAACCTTTTTTTAATCGGAGAATACCCAGTGAGTTCTAATTGCGTGAATATGACGTTCTTTATTAGTATGAATCGAGTATCAGAGCATCATTTTATAAAGAAATAAAGACGTTTTTATATTTAAACTTTAAAATAAAAACTATCTATATATGAAGCGCTATGAAAATTGTTACTGTTTAAAATTAAAACATAATATTTTTTTATTTTATCTATCCAATATTTACAACATTAAAACTATTAGATAAATATTACATATTATCTAATAAACCTTTTTTTAAAGGTTTATGTCTTAGGCTTAACGCCGCTGCATTTCCTTGCTGAATAGTTTTGCTTAACCTTTGAGCGAGAAAAGAACCAGCTGTCTTGCTCTCAAAAATTTCGACGATCTCTAAAATTACGTATTATTAGATAATATATATATATTTAATAATTTTAGATATATTTAAAGTTGTAAATATTGGATAAATAAAAAAATAAGATAAAATTAATTTAACACATATGTTTATATATGTCTATAATAATAATGTTTTTAAAATCTTCGGATAAATTGTGTCATTTCGTGGCGGGGTTAACTTGCAATTTACAATCCTAATGCATACTGAATACAGCCATCACGCACGGACGATTGTGGAAATAAGTTAGCGAAGGTATAAACATGTTTAAGCTACTAACTATTCGTATACATTACTACCATTCCATCTGAGGGCCCGGTGTTAACAAAGGCACTTAAACGTATAAAAATAAAAATTTCGTGAAATAAATTAAGATGTACACATTCATTTCCGCTCGGATAGGGCCTTTGTGATTCTGACAGACAGGATTCCGTTTATTTATGATTGCCATTGATCCTAGACTCGCAATGTTTGCAAATAAAGACGTCAGCCTCTATTTAATATCGCAACGGCGATTCCATGAACGGCAATAAAGGACTATAATATTTCCTCGTTATGACGCATGATGGATGGTCCACAGGTAAGCGGGTGCTCATTATGCTCTTCCCGCGCGGCGAACAAAAAACCCGCACCCAAACAAACACTTCCATTATTCGAAACACAATAGTAGCCCGAATCCGGCGCACCGAATTCCGATCAGTTACGGCAGTTTAACACTCTTAATAGGTATTTTTATTCTGCGCCCATAGTCGTTAATAACAACATCATCTCATTAATAATCAGTGGGGCGAAAGCGAGCTTTTAGAGCCACTCGAATGCCGCGCGTCATTTTCAACGGCGACGTCCGCATTAATAAAGTTTAATGTTTTCATTTCAAAGACACAACAATGCATGGCCGATAAAAACGGCATCTAATTGACGTGACGCGTATAAAATAAAAATCGAATGTCCGTCTATTAAGGCCTACGTCCGTTGCATATAATGCATTAATTAGGGTGCGTAAACTTTTATGGTCTCCGTGACCCGCCACGTGATAGTTTTCCACTTTAGTACTCCAAATGTTGATACGTACGGAATATATTCGGAAACTATTTCGACGTCCATTCACACACTTAGACGTATCTATTATTAAAGCAGAAATCTGTAGATACCGTTTTACAACAACGTTAATAGGAAAAGAATGTCTTTATCTTTGTTTCCATAGATATGTATAATGAATATTTTGTTTATATCATCGATGACAATAATAAAATAGTCTTAATATTTAGTTCATTTAAAATGTTTTCTTCTACGTACATAAAAAATACCTTTGAATTCTCGTTACAATATCCCTTGACAACGTGTATCGAACACTTCAACACTGTATATACTGAAGTTATTCAGTTATATTATTCAGTATATGTATATACTGAATAATATAACTGAATTCTTTTAATCGCATTCCCCTGAGAACATGTATTGAACTCGTGAATTAAATATTTTTCTTTTCTAATTTTATAGAAATTATAACTAAATGTATTCATTGATGTATTCGCTCTCCCTATTAACTCCATGTTCTTCTTATTGTGGTAGGTTTTTGCTTCGATTAGTTTTACTAAAAATCCATCGTAATAGCTCACATTTAAAGAAAATTGCAAACTTTCAACAACAAACAATGTTTCGCTGTACAACAAAAAATTAAATTAAAATCGAAAGTAACTAGTTACTAGTTAGACTGAATTGACACAAAAGTTCATTGAAACAAAAGAAAAAGAAATATATCAACTGAATTGACACAACAGTTCATTGAAACAAAAGAAAAAGAATTAAACCTCGTCATTTCCAAATCATCCTTCGTTTCCGGAGTTGTGCGCGCAACGTGGAAAAATTAAGCAATTCTTTCGATCCGAAAGGGTAGATTGTTTGTATCTGACACAGAAAAAACCTTCGGTATAGAGCCATCAGTCTAAATGGCCGCGCTCGGTTGCGTCCCCTCCGATCCTGCTGCGTTCACTCCATCCTGTCCGACGCATTCTTATTCCGATGTTTAGATAAACTGCTCTTATCTAATACGCCTCTAAAATAACGTTCGGCCAGAAATGTTTCCGGATTTCATGCTCCGCCTACTCCATTGTTGGTTCAATTAATTAAACATGAGTTTGTGTACCCTCATACATACGTAGACCGAATTCTCGTGTATTATAATATATAATTACTTGTACAAGATGTGTAAAACACGTGTTATGTTACCTTTTGTTTGGTAGTCTCTACAAAGCTCCGTAGAGCTTTCGTAGAGATACTCTACGGTATTTCTGTGTCTTGTGGATGACGCTTCACACGTTAATAGGTCGGGCGAACAAACGCAGTAGGCAGTGGGAAACAGTGTCAAGTATTCCAGATAGCTCAACTCCCAACCCCTTGTTTCGAATGGCCACACGAGAGCTGAGCAAGCAAGGCGAGCGGTCCGCAGCGGTACAACGGCTAATGAAGACGTGCGAGTGCACTCGACCGTGTAAACAGGCGCGCTCTGAGGCCCTCCTTTTGTTTATTCCCGCGGGATTAGTAATTTAAAAGTCAATGCGGACACTCGAAAGGGTCAATCGCACCACAGGCGGCGTATTGAAAACATATAACCTTTTTCGTATTCCGGTGGCGGCTCATGAAAGTTATAAGGGCTGAGTTGTTGAACTATGTAATCCACTCGGTCCTGCGGTCGCCGGCTTTGTTCTGCGGAGTGCGGATAATCGAAAACGCCTCTGGTTTGACCCGGAATGGCGGGACGAGAAATGCGAAGTTGATGTGTGGACACGACGGACGGTCCTCTGTTTGATTTGCGAAGAGCCAAGCGGGGCGAAGTCAGAGGCGGAAATTGGAGCCAGCCGCCAGTTTCGGCAACGCCAACGCTTGTCCAATTACTTCCCTTTCGACAGTTCGACTGTTAAACAAGACGGGGCGACAAACGTTTTAATAAAGGACGGCCGTTTTAAGCGGCCTCCGCGTCGGAGCGATTTCCGGTCGACACGCGGCCCGCCGCCAAAGCCTAATATGTTACGAGACGAGACGGAACGAAAACAAAGGGCCGCCGCGGTGCGGAGTGATGCCGGTTATAAAATAGACATAAGCGTTTAGCTGCGACACGGAATGGCGCGCTATTTAAGTCCGAGGCGGTGCCCGCGTGCGGCGTCGATTTTATTTTCTCGCGCGAAACATGTCCGCTGTCGCAACGCATTATGGCGGGAGCCGCACGCAACATTCGAACAGTGGTTTATTTCGGGCCAGCGTGGACGTTTCCAATGATTGACTTATCCGGGGGGTAATTTGAGAGGCACTCAGCGGCCGCCGCGCAGCCAGCCGCCTCCAGAGGTAACTCTATACCCGACGTTCGCCGTGACAGGTGTTAAAATAGAGTCCCTTAAAACTTAACCGCCACTAAGGTGACATATTCTTAGCGGGACATTGAAAATTGGATTTTAAGTAATAATAATTTAAGATTGAGATTATAATATTATCGCCAAGCAATTCTAATTAAGTCTTAAGTTTAAAATTTTCCTTTACTATTGACGCTTACTATTGACATACAGCACGTCATATAGCGATCCAAGGTCCGTCATAGAGTCATAGAGGTCGTCCTTATGTAGTATAGTCTACGAAGACGTTCTGCATAATAATAACATAAGTGTTACAGTTGCTTTGATTTTGGTAACGGAAGAAGTAGTGGTCGATTGCGTGCATACGCATAACGTAACAGCCATTATTACTACGTACTTTATTTGGTGACAACGAAATGGTGTCGGCGATATAATTTATATGGGAAGCGTTATATATGTAAAATAGAATCGTGTCATATTTTGAAGTTAGTTTCAAACCACAGAAACCTATAGGATTAGATTAGGCTGTTGCTGTTACTCTTCGCGATTGAAATGTTTTTACAATAAACTGTAATATTAACAAGTTCTTACAGCCGTTATCATTTTCTGACACGATACACGAACTCTTTCCTGTTGTCCGCAATCGACACTAATCGATCTCAGTTTAGACCCGAGCCCGACGGATACAGTCCTTTGTTGTATCTGGGAAGGAAATATTGACGGCGAGTGTGATTTAAAAGTATTCTGTTTTAAAAGGAAACCAATACGGATGCACCATCTGTACGTTGTCTCTGGCGGATCGCCGGGAATGCACAACGTAACACGATACCCTTCTACGGGCAGGATGGACGTGTGCAACGGAAAGGAGTACAATTAATTCCACTTTTGTGTATACAAATAGTGAATGAGTGCGACTTGTAAGACTTTCGTTAGCGCGAGTACAAACGCGAAGGAGCTTTGTGTAAATAAAAAAAAAGTGTACGCTCGCGTCGGGTTCGGTGGCTTAATGCATCGCCATAATTCAATCGGGGATGGCCTTATTCTTTCATACCAGAAAGAGCATCGAATTTATTACAATGCTCGAATGGTACAGGCGCCCCTTGCTATTATTTATGGCACTCGGTTGGTCTGTCACAAAAAAGCGGACGGTTGCCACGGCGTCGCAGCGGGCCGCGTCGGATTTAAGCTGCAACAACACGCACTTCCTCTGCGTTCGCGAGTTGTGCCGGGTTCAAACGTCTTTGTTTCACACGAAAATGTACCTTACACCCCTCGGTATATCGTGCATAATCGAATTTTCGATGATCATTATATTTTTCTATACTTACACGATATATCAGTGACGAGGTAATCCGGATTTATTGAAAGTAGACTGCTCTATTCGAGACATGTTTAAATGCAAGCCATGTGGTGGCAAATGTGGGAACCCCGCCAAGACGTTGCTCTACCAAATGACTTTGTTACTTCATTGTTATGTTGGTACAATGTTAGTATTCCATTTAAGCCTCTTTATAAAGCGTAGCTTTTATGCGAGCACGATTCGTATCTTTGGCATTGTGGAATAGTTCGAAATTCAAAATAGGCTAAAGTTACGAGAATACTAAAGCTTTAAAGGATGGATTTTAAGATATAAAAAAGATTTCGAAATGTTATATAAGTTTATGTAGATTAAGGGCAGATCAAACGATGGTGGAACTCTATTTAAGATAAACACCACATAAATACTACGAGAGGCCTATGCCTAAAATTGTAAAATGTTTATATATATATGAATATACATATTATGGTATTATACATATAACGATTAAATGAAATAAATAAGTTTCAATGAATAACGGTAATGGTGTTCTTGAACTTTATGTTTACACAGGATTCACTTAAGCCATAGATTCTTACAAATTATTCGATTTAAGTAATCCATTGTTATAATCGGGGGATAAACGCCGATCCTTTTACGCGAGACTAAAACGCCTTTTGTGATTGGAGCACACTCGAACTGGGAGCATGCAAAGCCCGTTTAATCACGATAAGATGCCGCCATGTAAGGCAACGCGTTATTTACAATAAGAACAGATTCAACAAACAGAAGACATTGCTTCGGCATCAATAACTTTTAATCCCCGAAATGAGACAAACGTCACGAACCAGGTCAACGGCTATCTTCTCACGTTTGTTGACGACTTAAAGTGTGATAATATTTATTAAACGGTTCACTCGAAACGAGCCACGATAAATAAACCTCTAAGAGCGTTACGCGTCACGAAAGATTTACTGTCTATGGTAATCTTTTTTTTTAATGCTAGCAGCACTGTTGCCGGCGTCGTCATAATGGATGGAATTTCGGTCGCGATGCTATCATTTCATTTTACTTGTAATTGGTATTTATTACCCACAAACTCCTTGCTCAAACTAGTTCCACGCGCTCGGAGAATATGAAACGGGCGGGAGCTTGGAGGCGGCACGGTGAATTATGCTAGTTAAGGACAACCGACATGAGCAATTAAAAGCGTCTTTTTTATCTGCGTGAATGGAGCGGGCTTCATAGATGCGGTTAGCGATAGTTACAAAATTATGGTTCGATATTTCGACGAAAGACAGGTTCTTAGGAGTACGTTTTCATTTTATGGCTCAGCGAACGCGACACGTCGGCGTTGTCAAAGGAATAACAAACCGCGAGGAAACATATACCGATTGCGTCCGACGTAAATCCATAATGTGTTAATACGCCTATCGGACGAATACGTCGGCTGGCGTTCTTGTGAGAGTTCGCCCGCCACATGTCTGTTGGAGCGATCAACCGTCGAAATTAACGCTCTGGTGAACGCCATAACAAACTGTCCCTGTCGGGCCCTGCGCATAAATCATACGATAATTGAATCATATGCCGCGTGTCAGAGCTAATTAACGGCCGCGATACCCATCTCGGGCGTGTGCTTTTTTAATAACAGCATCTCGATTTCCTCACGAGCGACTCACGCTCGAGATAGAAATTCCCTTAATGCAAGTATAATGAGAATTATTGCCCCGTACGGCGGGATCGCGGCGATTTTATCGTATTAAAAGTCATTGTGAGAATAAATTGAAATACGGACGAGTGCGGGCGGCGCGAGTACTGTGGTAGGGGTAATGATGGATTTTTTTATTTCACGCACCAACGTATGCTTAATAGTTCCGCTGACATAAATGAGTTATTATTAGGTCGGAGATCTCACGCGGAGTTCATTAATTACGATGCGACACTACTTTCTTATATTAAAGTTATACGAGTATATTAAAATGTACTTCATGTATCGTAACATTTGTATAAAAACCGTACACGATACCGCCCCATAAATCTAATGGGCTCCGTACAGAGGATATTTAGATTCGTTCCATTAAGAGGATCCCAATATTAATTCCGGCCAGCGGCTAAGACGATGATTGGGCTTGAGCATCGTATGGCCGCCTTATGGCACATAAAAACGTTTCGCAGACGTACACCAATTACCTTAATGTAAGTACCATCAAACAGCCTTTTTAGCGGATCACTCCCCGAGTCATTCCCACGTAGCGTTTATTGCTAATGAAATTAAGTGCGTAACATAGGTCCGTGCCGAGTTCATTAGAGAGCTTGTTTTAAACGAAGCCAAGGGTTCTTAAAGAAAGTCATTAAGTAAAGTGGAGTTTTTGCGCGAAATAGATAACGCCGAAATGAGATATTGGGGGCATCGTGTACTGCCCCCGCCTCGTAATGAGGCCCTCAGGAATACGTAGCAATATCTTAATACTCACCCCGGCCCGGGTGACAAATGTACGGCGTTCACGTGGTAACGGTAAATAATTTATAATGCCCGCTTTACCGCGTAACACCGTGCGATGACAAGTCGGGTCGTGAGCGAGGATATTGCGCGCCGAAACGTAGAATTATTGCCGAGTATACCTAGCCTATAAAGTGTCCGTTGCGGTATTAGTAATTTCAGAGAGCGCCCCAAATATATTTGGAAGCGCGACGGGAGTTACCGTGCTTACGCTTAGAGGGGCTGAGCGAGGAGTTGATTAACTAAATTCATCCGTGAGGCGTCGCTTAAGGATAATCAAAGATCAAAGGTTCGTTTAGTGCGTAACGTCGCCACGCATCAAAGCCGTTGCCGAGGACACTGGCGGTACACGGCGGCGTTAAATACGCCCGTTTACGAGTCGGCCGAGTCAATTTATTCCGTGCTGGAAACAATCGCCGCCACGGCTCGTCCGCTTAAAGGCGAAGTACTGGCCTCGTAAAAGCATCGTAAAGGGCGCGCGTTCGGAGTGCGTGGCGATGGCCGCTTTGATTTGTGCGCAGCAGCTGTTCCGGAGCGTTAATAACTTAATTCGTCAGAGTAGGCGGCGCGGAAGAGGGTCTACGAGCGGCGCTGCGTGCGCGTACGACGACGCTATGTCGCTAAGCTGACTGTCGATTAGCCCCGAGTCAAGGGAGTGGAGTCGACTTACGTTGTGAACGTTTTAAGTGGCGACTCGGAAAATATAATTATGTATCGCTATATGTTAATTCACAAAGGTGTTTTTACTGACGGCACGTCATAAGTTCCGTAAACCTACAAGAAATTTAGTGCTTCAAACATCATAAAGTATATTCTACTTTAATGTTTAAAATAATCTATAATGCCATAGTTTGGTGGTTTGTTTCATTTTTTTAAATGAAAGAAGACTTAGAAAAAAGTTCTTCTACAAAATACGATACTTTTCTTTGATAAATACTTATTTTAACATATTATATAAGGCGCCATTTGGTGACTACACAAATTATAGTGGAATATAACGCATTAAACACACGTGACTCCTAACTTTTCTACTTTATAATCAATTTACTTTTTGGCATCGTACCGTCAGCGAAACGCAAATATCAGATATAATTTGTTAAATGATGAATTTTGATAAATACTGTATAATATGTACCTTCCGAAATTTCCATAATTGCGAAATAGTCGACAGCCTCCATCTGTGGAGATATCGTTGTCTTAAGACGTCATTGTGTTTTGTTTTAATTGTGCACGTTGTCGTGCATTTAGATCTCATCGCTGCGCATTTTAAAGAACAACTTTAAATTTAGTTACTCTCTCTTTCTCAAACTAAGTAATTCATATACCGGCGCCTAGCGTCGATGGGGGCCACTCCACTCCTGTTAAGTGTCACTAGTGCTTACTTCTACATTATTTTTATAAAGCCTCCATCCTATAAATAAAGAGACGTTCTGAGCTTCGTCCGTTATGGTGTTCAGTGTTATGTATTAGACGCGAGTGTTAATTGGAAACACGCAGCTCGGCAATCGATAAGTCGTGTTGGATCAAACGACTGGGGAATACTGAGCGACTCCTATTTTGTATCTACTCTGTGGAGGCATTCACCATTCCGCGGCATTTACGATTTTCTATTAATTAATGGTGTTGGAAGTAAAATGTAAATTAATGATCGCGATTTTTACACACCTCCATAACAACTTTAACAATTGTCATTTAATTGTAATCTTAATTATTTTATGTATATAAAATAAGCAAATGTTTGTACTATTTTTGCCAATGTTACTTATCAATTCTCTTAACCGTTGTGAGTTAGGTTATGACTTATGTTATGTACGTAACATTGACCTTATTGATGAGTGGCTTAGTGAGGTGGAATTGCTAAGCTATTGGCTTCGGTTCTCGGCGTCATAGCTTCGATTCTCACACGGGATAAAAGTTTGTACGAACTGCATTACTATATTTATATAATAGTTCTATGAGTATTTCCCCAAGAAGGGTTGACGTCTGGTAGGAGGGGACCGATACTGGCAAGGTTGTATTGTTATATTAGTACTATTATATTATATAACAAAATGTATTAATATAACAAAAAACCAAGTAGTACTATTATTTAATAGTACTACTAACAATATGATTCACATGCTATGCCAAGCTCACCTAGGTGGGAAAAGGGCTGGATAATAATGATGTTACACCGAGACTTATAAGGTCTCACACAGATAAGCCAGTTAGGAATATAACACATTTATATATAATCATTGTCTGTAAGAAATTCGAAAAATGGGTAAATCCATCAACACGATCTAAACTAGCTATCTTGCTAGTAGCATTTCAGGCTGTAGGTCGAACTACTTTAATTCCGAATTGTCCTAAAACATATATGTCAATAATTAATTACCAAAATATTTTTATAACAATAATAATATATACGATATTAACGAATTCTATGTAAATTATACGTTATCCAACAAACCTAGGCCTCAAGGCTTGGTGCCAAGAACTCTAGCTGCATTTCCTTGCTCAATAGTCATACTTTCAAAATCTGAGCCAAAAAAGAACCAACCCTCATATCACCAGCCGCAAAGATAATAAATTAAAAATAGGTAAATTTTACATTTCGCTTGATAAACGCATAATATTTTCATCGGGTCGACCCCTCGGGTTTTGCTAAAAAAATATACTCAGATAGGGGTTTTTAAATGTTATTACAGGCCACTCCTTTATTACGTAAGCAATTATGTAGGGATAATAAAACAACTTTTTGGAATTAATGTATCATTTTAATGAAAACAACTTTTGGAATGAACACACACATCACAGACGCTGCGATGACGATAATTAATTAGATAATCCTTGTTCTGATCTATGTATCGATATCTTAGAGTAGAACGACAAATCTTCCTGAAGATAAAGTTTAGTTGGTAATTAAAAATAATATTTACATATTTATAATTCTCGTTTCTATTCCATTTTCTTTGCTTTCGCGTTAGCTCTCGTTTTAATTAAATGTACTAGTTTTCTTAGGGCTACATTTGGTCCGACACGAGCCGGGCGTCTCATGTTTTATTAAATTTTTACGCTTATCGAATTGTAAATCCATTAAAAGTTGTGCCCGTTGAAAGTAAACGCGACGACGCGCCGCTTCAAAGTTAACTCCTAAAAATTAATGAGAACTTCCTGATTAGGAAACAGCTACGGAGACAGCGCTTGCCCTCCCCTCCGCGATCTTATTTCTATTTGGTGTGACAACTTTACGATTCAATCATCGCGACTCAACATTTCTAGTGCTCAAAGAACGAATTCTCTTTAAATGTTAATTCAGGGCCGGTATAAATGTTGCTTAAGAGCCTCACGGCGAAATGTACAGCTCGCAAGCAGGTGATGCCGCGTCCGTTGCCATTGTCAAGTTAATATCTGTATCTAACAAAGGGGCGAATGTGGCACCGATTTCGAAAGGCTAAAGGAGGCGGGCGACGTCAGATTAGAGGCATAAATTATTGGGCACTTTTGTCCAGTGCGATCGCCGGCCGCGGCATTCAATTACTCGGATGAGCCCTACAAGGCTCCCCGGGCCTTTTTCAGATGTTTGTGCGGGGGATTAGTCGCTTCCAGCCGCGCCGGTATCTCCGCGAGATAAGTACGAATATACGTCAACGTCGGACGGCTACGCCGATTATTTCAAATGTATTCACTTCCTTAATGGACGTCGTTTCTCACTTGGCGGCGCGCTGACTTACCGGAGATTTTCGGCCCGTGATCCGGTCATCGACTGCACCGGCCCGGGTTCGAATGCGGCCCCTGTGTCGCCGCGCGGAATTATTACTTAATGTTGCGTTTATAGACTTTCATCGAAGTGAACTGTTAACCGAGAGCGTCGAACGTAAATTGCCTCGGTAGGACCTTGTTTTCTAGCGATTCGACACATCTGCGTTATCTCATGAAAGAATTTACATACGTGGAAATATACGAATAATGACACCAGAAGGAATTATAAAGTTTTACAATTATTAATTAGTTATGTGGTCTACAGCCCAGACAGACCACCTAACTAATTAACTCAATGAATACTGTGAAGCCTCTAAAATATCGGGAATTATGTTTAAAACTAACTACTACGGAAACCATTTAATTATAATTATCACTAAATACAATTATAAAGTTTACTCGTTTAAGTTTCTGAAATCCATTTATACCCGTTTCATAAAAGTATGTAACAAACGTCCCAGTCACAAACTTTGAAGTTTTAAATATAAATTTTAATTATAATTTTGGGACATTACTTGTTTTATACCCAACAACCCACTAATACGGTATCTTCTAACATCTACGCTACAATAATAGTTGTCGTTGTTCAACAAAATACTGAACATATTTCAAGATAAATGCAGATACGACGGAATGCAGTCGAGGGGCCACAACAAAGCGGACCGCACAGCTCGTCCGTCTAATATAATAAATTCTATTTCATTCCCATAACACTCTAAATAGTCGAGAAAAGGAAGAGAAAAAATCAAGAGAGGAAAAAAAGGCCAAGAATAGTATCGGAACGTTCGCCCACCTGCTCACGCATTGACAAATGCCTTCCCTGGCTCCCGAGGCACTCGAGTCGCCCGATCTAAGGCCCAAATAATATACATATCATTATTTCGCCTCGCGCTCCCATAAATATTACTTACAAATTCGCCGGGCCAACGACTCGCCGGCACCGCGGCAATTTTTCAACGGAATAAGCCTTCATGATACCGAGCGCTTTCAGACGAGGTACAAATACGCGCTGTAAGCCTGAGACATCTTGAGTTTACTTTTTAAAATGATCGCGCTAAATACGCGAGGCATATCAAAGTACTTATATTGAAGCCATAAATTCAGGTGTCTCCCTACGTGATGTTTATTGTTCCACAATACAAAGTAGTAAACTTTCTTTGGTTTTAATCGAAAAAAACGTCTCCCAGGAAGTAATCCTTTGCTGTAAAATCAGCTTTCTAATATTGCCTCAATTGACACTTCAAGTAAATTTTAATCAGAACTCATGTTTTAAAATAACACTTCCAGATAGTGCGTTAATTAGTACCAAGCACCCAAGTTATTAGTACCCAACTGTTTTAAGTTTAAACCGTTAATTATTTTTCTTTCGCGCATTGTAAGTATATATTATACTAGCGGACCCGACAGACGTTGTCCCGTACACACGTTTTAAATACGACAAAAATTTATAATTAAAAAATATTAAAAAAACATTTTGTAATTGCCTATATATATAACATGATTATGGTACGTTGTTGATTGTATAACGGAATTAGCATTTGCAATTCACAGTATTTCTCACAGCCAATGTCCATCCGTAGAGGGTGTTATGCGGCAGGTGGCTATCTAATTAATTAGTAGATTCCCCCATCGTTCTACGCAGGGGTTAAAATTAAATGTGTATTTTGCATTTTTCACCGGCCGTAAACGCCGCATGCCTCCACCCGACTGAAATAATTAATAATAATATTATATATGACCCTTTCGGTATGGCCGGAAACACAATCTCTGGTATAATTAACCTAAGGTCTTAAATTGTATAGCAATATTAAAGTATTTTTTTTTAATAGATACGTTTATAATTTGTGTGCAAGACTACTTCTTAATATTTCAAAATTTTCTA